ACCAGGAAATCAACAAATTAACAAAAAAAAAAAGAAATTAACAATCATTACCCTTCTCCAACATCATCATCATCATCATCATCATCATCATCATCATCATCATCATCATCATCATCATCATCATCATCATCATCATCATCATCATCATCATCATCATCATCATCATCATCATCATCATCATCATCATCATCATCATCATCAATCATCATCATCTACATGATTTTCTTGAGTGGTCATCAATCATCTTCATGTATCGTCATTACTCATGTTCTTCCATGGTCATCCATCATAATGCTTCTTTTTTAATAATCCTGATTTTTGTGATTATCGTTTTTTTTTTAATGTTATGATTTTTTTTGGTTATTTTTTTTGTGTCGTTTTTGCTGTAAGTATTTTTTGGAATTTTTGTTTTTTCGCTGTTGTATTCTCTTTGCATTTTTTTCCCGCTGTTCCTATTTATGTGTTTTCTTTGCTTCTCGATATTCGTGCTTTCATTTTGTGTGTTTTTTTTTAAATTGGTTTTGTGTTTTTTTAATTAGTTGGTTGTATTCGTAATGATTTTTTTTTGTTTTTTCTGAGGCACTGATTATTATCAGCCTACATGTGTTTGTGAATCTTTATTGTATTCTAAATTATTTGCTAATCAAACATTGCTGAGATTTTTGAAGAAATTGTCGGTAAAATAGCATCGGAATTTTTTAGGTCCAGAGAAGGTTATTCGCTTTTCCGTGGAACTCACAGATGAATGAGCATACCTAGAAAAACAACTGTTCCCTTTCTGAATATTTAAAAGTAGGACTAGAAACAATGATCGTTATCATCATCATTTTTTTGATTCCAACTTTTTCGACTGGCATTTCATGTTGTTTTTTGGGAATATATTCATTCTATTTTGATTTTATTCGTTGTCACCTTACATGGTCTTTTATATATTTTAGTAATTTTCATTAAATAAATTCCTGTTGGCTGCATATTTCCTTGATGTGTATTTGTCGATGCACGTTCCTGCCACACATTATGTTTTATTATTACCGTTAGACATATTCATATCAATCGCGTGTTTGCTATGTTTTGGACCTGCTTGAACCAGGCGTATCTCAAGAACGCAAAGTGCACTATACGGAAGAAAAACTTTATTTTATTCATCATAACTTTTCGTTTGGTTTCCTAGTAAAACATAGGGCTTCAGTAGCCGACAGAAGAAACACAGAAAAGTGGAAACCTATTCTAGACGGTAGGCTGCGCTCTGACTAGAATACTTACATCTTGGTCGCCGCATGTATACACACGTGATTTTGAATGTGTAAAACTGTTTACCATCAAATGGTGTTCATCAGTGCGTTGTGTAAAATGGATATAGGTAAAGTTATTTTTGTTTTGGTGTAATTTTGCGATGCCCACTGAAGGTTTAAATACTTGATCATGCTTGCTTGCCAAAAGATCTCCCTTTTATGTACTGAACTGTATTTCGGTTCATTTTATCTCATAAACACAGATATTTTGATTTTCATTCAGGATCGCGTCTATGACGTTCATCAAGGTTTTGGGCAGAGTATCTGCTGGATTAAAATAAACCTTTACACCATAAATATTGGGAAGTCTTTAAACTTCAGTATTCCCCCTAGTTGTATGGAACCAACACACTGTTGATATGGCTTTTTGAACAGAAGTTTAGTCATCCAAATGTTGGTGTGAGTTGTGTTTATTTGTGCACCATCACTGCTTTGAGACAACGTTTTTTTGCAAACGCATATGAATGTTCAGCAAAACTAAAAGCGAATGTTTGGGTTGAGATATTTACGAAGACTGGCTTCAATACAAACAGTAACGTGATGCTCAACACAAAACAGGTATAACCAAGCTCAGCATCAACAGGTAGCTGGATAATACATCCGAAGGGCAACATAAAATAAGCGACTTGGTAGAATACAGCACCTAACTATTTACTAGTATCAGGATTTTTATTTCGTACGCATAATTATTAACAAAGAATAAATACTTATAGTTAGTCGTGAATAGAGTATTGACTAGTTTAGAAAATACAATCTGAAAGATATCACAGCACAAATTTCTAAGGTAATCGACAGAAAACAAACTGCTTTTCACTGAGAGATATCAGAGGTGTTTGAAATACTAATCATTGAAAAGCAACTCGGCTTGTGTACAGGAGGCCCAAATGTTGACCTACACTAACATTCAATGTAAAGTTAAGCTTTAAAAAACACTCTAAAAATTGTTCAACCTTCACGCAGCTTCAGTGAAAGAAAGGATCCTGATTCACATACAGCATAAAGTTGCAGGTTATTTTCAGCAGTTCCAAATGTTGCTGCATCAAGTCATATGATATAAGTTAGACCACTGTTAATGTCTTAACTATCAAAGGAGTAAAATTACGAAAGAGCTAATGACCAGCTAAGAAATTCTCAACAGTATTCTGTTTTGTAACTGCTTTTTAGAGAAGCTAAAATGCTACCCGTTTTTCAAATTGATCACTTGTATGGTGAAGAAAACAACCTTAAATATTTGAGTGGATTCTTCCTAACCAAAAAGAGTGATTTTTACGCTGAATGAATCATGAAAATTAAAGGTTGTACGACTTCGTCAAAATACAAGCTGCAAAACTTTACTAATCAACTTATTCGACATTCTCTAGATATTTCTTTGTCTTCATAATCCACATTTGTTAGAATTTAACAAATGCATGGAAGTGTTCTAATGCCACTTTACGTACAACTTCTTATGTCCCTTCTTTATGTGGTGATACTGAGGAGGATTTGGATGCCAGCCCTATAAACTATTTAATAAACTCCGAAAGATAATCATTCAGCGTCTGTATCCCTCCTAGCTGCATAAATTAAATATTTCACGAAGCTTATCTGTACAGATATGGAGTGAAACGACTTGAAATACAAGTATCGTTTTGAAAGTGATGGTTTCCTGTAAATATTGGTATCTGAATTGCCATCTTTTCCGCTTGTGGTTTTGAAATCCAAAGTAGGTAATTCTCCTTCTTCATTTTCTAATTCATAAGTCAGTTGGATCGCATCTTCTACCAAGTAAATGTGTATGAAACAATCTGGGTATTTTTTGGTTTTTGAAAAGTGAATGTGTCGTCAACATCTCGTTAGCATCGTTTGTGGTAGGTTGGAATGTCCTTATTGCCATCTGTTTCTAACTTTCCGTTCGTGAGCCTGGTGCAATCGAGGATTATAGAGATACGATCGCTACTTTTTCTATTTGTCATATACAATCTCTTGAAATTTGAAGACTGTAAAAGTTAGACACAACTGAATCTCTAGCATAATTTTTTCGATCGAAACTGTAATTCTCTCATTGAGTTTATTGCGAGTGGTGAGTTGATTTCTGAGTGCTTCAATTGCTATATTAATCGGTTTCTTTGTATAGACGCCTGTTGTATTACAACTGACCACATATCTTCCCTTCTGTAACTGCATTTCATCTAGTCTCATGGTTGAAATCAAAGGAAGTTATTAACCTATATTTTGGGCAATTCCTATCATTATACGGTTTTTTAGCCAATATCTCGATAGCCAATATATTGGGGTGTCGACTATCGGCCTAATAGGATAGCCTGATTCATGAATCCTAGTGGTACCACACTTTTACTGGAATTGTCAGCAGATCACTTTTACTTGCCCGGACATAGCTTCATTTGGCGCATTAGATCATTTGTGGACTATTTAGTTTTGTTCGTAACTGTGTCTACTAGGTTCTTGATTTCCTTCTGTGTTCCTGTTTGAATATGTTAACTGGATTTCTTTAAATAATCCACCTTATGCATAACTACTGTCCAGTTGTCTTTCTCAGACTTGACAATTACTATATTACACTCACTTCTTAGGTTTTTGGCGTCAACACTCCTGGTTTCATCAAGCGTCGCCCCCTTAGGTAATTTAGTGTTCGTGCACACTATTCACGAATGTGGTCAACAGTTGTCTTATCTATTCAGCTTAACGCTACTTCTATCCTAGGTATGACGTCTTCGGGTTGGAATTGAGCTAGCGTTACGTTGAAGTTCAATCCTTTCCTCAGAACCTTTATTTCAGTCAAGATTAGTTCTCTTATTCAGAGACTTATTACCTACCTTTTTCGATTACTGGCTGATGGTGTGTCATTCATAGTATTTTTCTTCGTGTTCGGTATTGTTTTTTATTGTATAAATCTGTTCAATCTTTCATCGTGGGGCTGTGGATTTGTTTGCGGCAACGGATTCGTCTGTATTGGATACATCAACCACCAGTTGCTAGTCTTTGTTGCTTATAATCTTCATAAGTGAGCATTTCAGTTGTTCACTTCTATTATGGATGCTAGCTCGTCTCGTGATTATTTTGTGAAGTTCTCTCAGACGTAGTATATTGACCTGCTCTACTGTTCTCCTCACTTTATCTGTTGGAATCGGATTCTAACAGACTTGAAAGTGTCCGTGTGTCATTCACTAGAAGAAACTAGTTTATGTGAAGGTAACGTTGATGCTGACAGTTAGCTGTCGTTTCGTGTATTCAATTTTCTCATAAATGATATCTGCTTCCAATTGAACTACTGAGGTAAGTACATCTATGCTGCAGGTCACCATTCTATTCAGTTTAACATTATGAGGTTAGTGATACTTTTCTTTTAAACTTGTTAATTACTTCGAATACACTTTAACACTGACTACCACATCAAATAGACAATCTTTTGCTGGAACGTGTCTAAAGCGAATACAATGTAGACGATAAAGTATGCGCAACTTCACACTTCTTATCATATGGAGAAATACTTATGGAAAACGTTTGTTTTATTTTATAACCAATCAAGATCTTTCTACACTTTTCAACTATCACAGGTAGTCAATTACTTGTACGACAATAGGATGAACGCAGTGATTTCATACATCCAAGCATTCGTTTCAAATATATAACCATATGTATTTATACTCAAGAAAAGAGAATTTACCAAACAGTATGCAAAGAATTAATTTGGGTATGCACTACATTCCTTTAGTTTCTGTTTAAAAAGTATTTGTTGGCTTTTAACCTTCCCATAATAATCATTTCTGCGGCATTAGAATTGCCATCAGCTAGATTTTGAATCTCTTTAAGTAAAGTTAGAGACTTGTTTAGCCTAGCTAAGACAATGCCTAGAAATACATCATCAAATCGAAGATTCTGTGTAAATGACATTGCGATAGACGCATCACGCACCAAATCAGCTCCTAAAATATAACAACCACCTTGGAAAAATGGAGGATAGTAATCCCAAGGATATTCTTTGCGTGAAATACTCCAACGAGAATATAATTTGTCATCTGTTGCTCGTGTGACAATTGACGTGCTGTGTATTGAGCCACCAGCAAATGATCTAACATTAGATTTTTGATGAATAGATTTCACTAGATTGATGGTATTTCTCGGATGAAGTATATAATCATTATCAATGAATAAAAACAATGGTGTTCTTTCGCCAAACATTAATGATGCATAACGGAATTTTAACACCATTTTTGTCGTTAGATTGAAGTAGTTATCGTAGAATCCACCAATCAAGATATCACCATGAGATCTACTCTCTTCTGTCAGTTGTTTCATTGTCGACCAACGAGATGATTCCAGCTTACTGGATAACCGCTCGGCTTCCATGTTTAATTCAACGCTTACACCATCGAAATGATAAATATTTGTTCCATTTGGTGTCGGTAAACCAACAACAAATATAAACTGAACTTTAAAATCATTCCAATGGTCAGTTTTCATGTAGGTTTGGCGAGCATATTTTCGATGCTCAAAGCAGTATACACATGACTTAACGATTACAACCAAGTCCAACTTCTCTTCTTGGAGACAAGCATTGCACCCATTTCTCGGAAACTGTATCACTAGTAGATTAATATTGTTGATAGCTGCCTAAAATTGCAATTCAAAACAACAACCGAAAAATGTAAGTATAATCAAATTGTAACACATCACATATTCCTTCATCTGATGCCTGTGGAATAGCCCTGCGATGAACCTGAGAGGCAATTTCACATGACTGCACGCACCCATAAAGTCATTGAACAGATAATTCCGTCGGTTTTTTCCAACATAGGCAATTTATGGCACTTTCGTGGTCTAACTGACCATTGAGAGTGCAGTGTACTGTTTTGAGGTTTGCTCTATTCTACTAGATGGATATGAAATATGGCTACTGAGGGTGAACGACACAAGAATGCTTCAGGTGTTCCATAAACGTTGCACTTTAAGCATAAACTCTGTGTGGTGATGTCACTACAACAGGAATGCAGAAATCTAGCGCACGATGCTAAATGAGAAAAGGTAAGTCATTTGATAAGGTTGTGAACTTTCGTTGATTCAAATGGTTTGTTTATATGTTACACATTTCTGGTCACTGACTACTCCACCGCCAAGTGTGAGCTGAAGTTGATCTATTCTACATAAAGATTGGAGGCATCACTGTGTGAAGTCTTTGACTATTGGTCCGAGACGAGTCGGGAAATATAGACTTCCCAATCAGGGTCCATGTGGCAACCGAGAGTAGTAATTGAGGATTCTAGGTGATATAGCTTAGAGTCAAAATCATTCAGTGGTGGAGACGCATCCACGCGAGACATTTATCCTAAGTGTCATACTGGATTTCACTATCGTTTTACTCCTTCTTGTCGACTTTTTTCAGCTTTCGACTACTTTTTACCACTGTATGCCTTTTTGTCAATATTTCATCCGTGTGCTTTCTAACTTGACGTGCTGATGCGAGGTATGGTAACTTGAACTGTTACGCTTTAGTGCTGGTTTTCATGTTGATGTAGACTGAATAAATTGTTCATTATTGGATCAAGCACAAATGAATTCGAACATGGTTCGAACAGCGCACTTTCTAACGGGATTTGGGCAGCCGGTTAGTATTATTCATCCTCATGCAATAGGTCTGACTAAATGCTGATTGAAAAATGTTACTGACTGAGTTTCTTTTAAATTTTCATTATGGGGTCACTATATTCTGAGATGATGCTGTCATAATGAAATGTAATTGATTGGTAAGTGCATGTAACATTATTTCAAAGAAAAGGCGTTTTGAAACACAGTTAAGGGAATTACTGTGAATCCTGAACTGAAACCAGTACTTCATAATATTAAGAAAACAAGAGATATCTGAGTAAATTTGACGTATGGCTGATGAACCTTACTAGTCAGCCATTTTTAACCATGATAACGAAAGCGACTTATTAAACTGCATTTTCACAATCTTGCAGATAATAATGAATGAAGAATTTCACTTTGAACCGTTAGAATTTTTCTCGTATTGCAAATCCGGGGCGACATTGAAAATGCATAGAAAATCAGACCTTGGTGAGCGACATACCTACAACGAATTCATACTGAGAACTTAATATTCAACTTTCATAAGTGCATAATTCGAAAAGAATTCCGTCAGTGAACTAGTCACCTCATTGTTTTATCGGAAGCAAGAAGCTGTTTTAACAGGCAAGATGCCATTGGTATTAAACAGTTAATGTAATTTTCATAACTTCATTAGAAGACGTTATCTACAGGCTGTTTTGGGATCAATCCTGTGACCCGTTTCTGTAGTGTGTTTACCCATAGACGATGACGTGTGTCTGCTCTCCGTTTACTGTTTTATTTGAATGTAATTGTTTCTCTACCCATATATATATATATATATATATATATATATATATATATATATATTCCACCACCACTGACTTCATAGTTCGATTCCTTCTCCCCATGTTAGTCACGTAACACAGCTGTACTTTGGTATACACAAGTGAATATAACGTATCATCTATGAAGTGATAAAGTTTATTTTGGAACATGGATTTCGCTTTGTCTAGGATGATTAGTTGATAATATGTTAAGAAACTGAAGATGATAGTCATTTTCTATTTAACAAGACAAGCTTGATATGATTATGCATGATGTTAAGCCTCTCGGAAAGGCTTACTGCATCCTCATGTTTTTTTGTATAGTACTTAGACATCATCAATGTATCTACTTTACAGAAGGACTTTGCTGACCAAGTCCCCAACCAATAATTCTGCATATGATACATAGACAACATCTAACAATGGCCCTGATAGGCCACCCATGGCGACACCATTAACTTGTCGATCATATTCACTTTCGGAAGTGAAGTGAAACTCAATGAGGGGTAGTAGTAATGGCTTTTCAAATATTTTTCAGGAGTGGCGAGTAAAGGATGCTTCAAGGATATGTAGTCACAAATAATATCAACAGTTTTGGTCAAAGGCACGATGGTGAATGAAGGATACATCCAACAAACACATTATCGTATCTTTAACATTCACGTCATTTAAGTGGTCATTAAGTTCAGAAGTATCTTCGAACGATAGCTTACAGGGAGAGCTCAACCAATTCAACCCAGTGTATCAGCGGGACAATTGCAGGAATCAACAAACAACATCTAATACCCGTTGTACAAGAGGTGGCTCTCGTGCCCTAGTGAACAACGCTGTGGCGTCTGAAGGGATGAGTGTTGGTTTCAGGTCTCAATAGGGTACAAGTACGTCTAGCTGACAAGTGGCAAGAAGAAGGTCAAAACGCCCCTCCTCGATGCCACTGCTCGCCACCAAGCAGATGAAGACTTACACAAATGAATTCTAATTGTACTTAACCACCTAGCCAATTTATGCATTCAGGAGCGATGCACTGATAGTACTGGCCGTTATGGGATATTCACTTTGTGAATCTCACTTGAACACTAAGGGTGATGTCGAAATGTGTATTTCCTCCCTATCACTTTTTATCTTTCAAATCCTGCATTTTCCCAGCTTATTCCCTTTCCTTTACTCTATTATCACCTTTATATAAAAGTGCCTTGACAAGTGGTCCGAAGTTTTCGAAATCTCTTGCGTAAATACACTACAATTCTCAGACAAACTCTGTCTTCTTATTATGTTATGAAAATTTCATTAACTGTCTAATACCAATGGCATCTTGCCTGTTAAAACAGCTTCTCGCTCCCAATAAAACAATGAGGTGAGTAGTTCACTGACGAATTCTTCTCGAATTATGCACTCACAAAAGTTGAATATTAAGTTTTCAGCATGAATTCGTTGTAAGTATGTCGTTCACCAAGGTCTGATCTTCTATGCATTTTGAATATCTCCCAGGATTGTTCAGCCAAGCATCAGTGGGAAGTAATGACATCGGGCGAATTATAACATGAATATTGTGTATAAAAGTTTTATTGAAGTAAATCATGACTGTTGATGCGAAGAAACAAATCAGCAATTGATTGCTTTAATGTCAAACGGGAAACAATCATTCGACTTGATGGAGTAAAAGCTTATTTATTGACAGATGTTTAACTGACTGATTGACTGGCGAAATCAACGTAGAACATTGCACAGGAATGCATCAGCTCAAGTAGCCAGACGTCATAGAAGTACACAAAGAAAGGCTAGAAAGAAAAGAAGTAGTATGAAAGTAAAAATAGTTGTGTGAGCGGGTATGCAATCTGATGATAAAGGTTAGTGTCAATATTCAGGCTTGACGTGTCAAGGAGTGAGTAAATCTGCTCCATTGTGACTGATTTTCAGTCATCTCACCAATAGTCCTCAACCTTTAATTCCTTTCGTCTCACGGACCCAAACCAGGCAGTCTACATCTCGCCACACGGCTAAAACCACCAGTCGAGGACTTCATCGACTGGTGCCAGGTCTTGGTCCTTTCACCCTAAACCTGTTTGCATCATGATCCAACTTCGGGTAGGCAGTGGCTTGGCACGAGCAGCACATGTCCAGGCCATCTCAGTTGACTAACGTTCACAACCTCGTCAATCGACTTGGCTGTCCTGCCCAGTACCTTTCGCCTGACCTCAACAAATGCTCACATGGTGATCCCATCAAAGGTCGGCAGTGACGCGAAGATACATGTGGTCGAGAAATTGTATCTATTTCATGTCTTCTACTTTTAATGGTCACACCTCACAGTCGTACAACAGGACAGAACGGACTACACAGCAGTGTAATAGTCTTTTGATATGTAGTCGAATATCTCGCCAGTTGGTGCCACATGTGGCGGAAGTTAGCGAATGACAAACTGGCCTTCTATATCCCAGCTAAGATTTTTATCACCAACCGGTCGGTTCACGCTGACGCAGCTCCACAAGTAAGTGAAGTAGTCGACAAATTCCACCACTTCACTCCTTATCATTAAGCTGGGAGTCGTTGCACACCAGTCCTGGAGCATCATCTTATATTTGACAGGTGCTAAACCCAAGCCAAACATACACAGATTTCTGCTCAAGGCGTTCAAAAGGTCTTGCATCCCGTCAGCGTCTTCACCTAGTGGAACCATATTACCTGAATATTCCAAGTAGACTAGATGACCTCTAGGGGTAGGTCAATCCCTGTGAAGTAAAATGTGTCTATGGTTATGACAGATGGCGTAGAATAAATTCATGCCAATACCTTTGAGAAGTCACTGACTTTTCCAATCACCCGTTTCCACTGCATCGCAACAGCAGTTTACTTAAATTGGATCTAACATTAGGAATCCAGCTGTCTTAACGCGAAGAACAGACGCTGATTGGTTCTTTTGACCCGGCTGATAACTGACACCACAGTTGTTATATGGTATTTTGTAATCATTATGATTATTGGGGTTAATTAGGTCTTAAAGTGTAGACAGTTTACCTTTGAGTGGTGTCTGAACTTAGACTTTCACTCCACTGACCGATCTGTCAATCCTTTCTCTAAAAATGGCAGTAAGAATGTCACTGAATCTTTTTGGTTCTGAGAATTCCAGTCAGTGAAGACTCAGCTGTAAACCTCTACATTCTGAGCTACGGATAACACTGTTTCTTCAAACAATATGCTCCGTTATCCATGGGGCCCAAAATTAGAAAACTGCAGACACTGGCTCTGTGATCGTCGGTTAGTAAGACCATTCCCAAGAAACTCGACTGTTCACTCAGTATTATTTCTATTGCTCGTAATTTGGTTTATCCATGAAAAATGTTATTTAAGCTACAAGAAAACCAATTTACTGATAATCTGTTAATTCCAAATCATCTTGATGACTTCGTCAATCAGTGGCATGGGGAGTGGTCTAACCAGAATGTATATTATGTCTGTTTTCGTTGACTGACCAAGTGACTAATAAATTCTGAGAATCTTGCCTTCTCATCTGAATCTAAATTATGAGAGGCTGGAACTAGGAGCTCGTTAGCCCGTATTTCACCAGCATAGTCTTATAAAACACACATGTTTCTAAGCCTAATAACAAAATGAATTTCATCGGCGGTCAGTGATTAAAGAGCATGCTTTCAACTAATTTATACTAGTTCACAAACTATAGTTGACTGCTGGCATGAAATTCCCTTTTTAATAATGTCACTGATTTTCAATGAATCGAAGAAGTATTTTCCGCTTAAAATAAACTTGGAGCTCTTAACTGCACTAATAAAAGAACAGCTATTTTTGCAAAAGCACTGGCCTGACTTACCACAAGATTAGTTTTTAAAACTCATTCCTCATTTCTTGTGGGTTGTGATATGGTTCTGTCAACAAGTATGGCAAAATGCAGCACCTAAGCGTCACCTGTTATTTTGCATATAGCACTACTAGAAACCGCACCACATCTGCCAATCAACCGCAAAAGTAATTGGTCATATTCAAAAATTTGTGTAGACAAACATAGAAAAATGAGCGAATAAAGATAAATCAATACAACAAATTCAGTGAAAACATAGAAGTTTCTGACATCAACAATTTTTGCATGTTATCTAACAGTGTTTTCAAAATAGTCACGGAGCAAGTCAATTTTATGTTTAGGAAGCACATCCATTTGACATACCTCAGGCTTCGAGAAACCAACTGAAATCGCATTTAAGTATGTACTCATATCAAAGGATTTTGGATGATGTCTGGAACGTGTATGGTTTTCTTCACCAGTCTTCTTCTCATAACGAAGATTTAAAATATCAGCGTCATGCCCTCTTTTCAATTCCACTTTGAACTGAATCTTAAAGTTAAATAACTCCTTTGTCCCATTAATATAGGGTATTGATGTTAGTGAGAAAACGGATAAGCCAGTCGATTTTTTGAATTGCTTAATTGACTGATTGTCATTAATATTTGCTGTATTCAACGAATTCAGGAATGTGATCCATGAACTTTGTGATCTGATAATTTCCGTTAACGTCTCATTTGCGCATAACAATTTACTGATGCAATTTGACGAAACAAGCTTATTACTGAGTGTTGAATGCTGAAAACTGGTCACTCTCTGCCATCTAGTCCAAAGTCGAAATTTCACGTTAATATGAAAGACTATTAAAAGAAAGATAAATATCAACACTCGTCTCTTAGTTAATTTCGGGTATAAGTGGTGACATGTGAAGTACATTTCGGTGTGACAGTTCTGAATATTATAGTGATTGGCTTGATATTGATATCAAGTTTTTTCTTTTAGATTGCGGAAAGATAATGGATACAATAGAAATTACTGCGGTTGTATGCTTATAATACCAGAGATTCCCTTCAAATATCCTTCATTCCTTTCTGCTTTGTTTTAGATGAAGTTGTGTATTATGAAAACAGGGAACTGATTGTATTTTTGGGTCAGAAAATTTTCTTTGCAAAGAAAGGCTACCGTTTTACTTTCCACCGAAATACCTAAACATAGAAAAGAAAGGGATTAGCTGTTAATGTTATTTCATTGTTATTGAAGTTTAAATTTTAAAGGCCAAAGGAAAGCTTCCGAAAATTTCACAGCTTTGCCTCCTATGTGGACTTCCAGCTCTCGTATAAAAACTCCAAATGAGGCCTAAAACATTTCCTCAGGAAAAAATTACACAGCCTGCAAAGTGTGACAGCCAAGATGTAGAGATGAATCTTTACTCGGACATTTTTACACTTCACCCTTAGCCAATATAACCTAGATCAAGTACCTGAATCAAACTATGGAGTAGTTCATTTAATCTCATAGGACTGTAAGTGATTTGATGCACTTGTAGTGGAGAATAAATCTCCGAAATCGATTACCTATACTTCAAAGATATTCAATATTGGCATTGGCTCCCATAGTTTTGATCTGCTTGTTTATACCCGAAACGTGAAGAAAACTAACGGCTTGTCTCTGTATCTACCCAAGCTGCATGCGAAAATCTCGAATACTTTTATATCTCACCCTTATTCCATCTACGTTTTGCAGCTTGAAGATAAAATGTATCTCAGTGATCTGCATGAATTTCATATCATATTTTGGTTGCCACACGGTATGCGCTCTCCGTGCTCTTTCCAGACAATTTATGTCCTTTCATAGATAAAAAGATATTGAAAATACTTTCCAAAATATTATCCTACAGATCTTTTCCACTATCATTATTAGTGAAGGATACACAGTGGTTTTGTTTCTACCCAACCGAAATTTAATATTTTATTTGGCTAGGTGAGTAAACCATAGCAGAAATTTCTCGACGGTCTATGGGGCACTTAAGTACTGTATGGAATTAAATAATTTCGTCATATAATAAGATCTTAGGAAGACTGAAAACTCTATATGAATCCACTCAGCATCTGTAAGTGAGTACATTTTCTCCTGATTGAAACCTTCCTCTGGACCAATCTTTTCTTTGTTCCAATCTCATGTTCCCTATTTTCTAAGTATTGTCCGCTTGGAACAAACAGAAACATAGTTATTTATTGTGTTCAATATGAAATGTGATGAAATTGCAAAGTATGTCCTTAAACAAGGATGAAACGGTACAAACTATGCAGCATAAGCATTTAGGACACAAAAATACTTGTTTTGTTGAATACCTCATTATGCAGCAAGAGCGAAAACACCTACCATCGAATTTCTGTACAAATAACGCGGAATGAGCACAAAACAATTACAGTGCCCAATGTCCATTTAACACACTTGTCTAATATCTAATATCTACTATCTTTTTAACGAGCTTGTGTAAATCAGTTGATTTCTTCGTGCTCGCTTCTTGGACTTGCGGAACGGCTCCAGATCTGAAGCAGAAACTTTTCTTGTATCCGCGTCTAGTTCTTGTGGAACAATTCCTGGTCTTTACTGGAATTCGATGCACTATATTCAGCTACTAGTCTGCTTTTGCTCTGGAAAACCCAGCAGGTGGTTGGGTGTTGGTTAGTTTACTAGGGACTGCAGTGCAGTTCCAATATTTTTCAACGAGCTTGTTTAAACCGGTTGGTTTCTTCTTGCTCGTCTCTTTGTCCCGCGGAACGGTTCCTGGTCTTTGGTGGATCCCGATGCAACAGATCCAGCTACTCGTCTGCTATAGCTCTGATTTACAGAACAGGAAGTTAAGTGTTGATTTGTTTGCCTTGGACTGTGGTGCAGTTGGGTTCTTCCAATATCGAGTTGCCAGACAGTCATCCGGACTGATCGTAAAATGGAGTTAGGGTCAGCAAAGAAACAACCTAGAAAAACACATGCGTCATGATCTCGTTCTTCTCTGGTGAACTTCCATTGATGCTGTGCTTCCCTCTCGACATTCAGGAGGCACTCGATGCCCCGTTTTAGTCATGGGGCCAGCTTCCTGGGTATTACTATCACCATGAGGGTGTGTTCAGAAAACGCCAACGCAACGATCTCTCTCACTGGCGCTTAGTGCTGGTCGCCCGATGAGGAGAGCCAATTTATTAGCCACGGAGCTATCGACAGGGATTGATTTACTCCCTCTTGGTTTGCCTCGCTGTGTCAGGGGGAGGGAGAAATTCCTCCCACGATAACTGTTTGCTGATTGGCAGGTGGAACACTACCACAGTGTGATCACTGATTCCAGCAGCAGCCTGGACCCGGACACTTTCAACTAATAGCTGGTCACCAGTTAGTAGATAATCAAGTTTAGATGGTTCGCCGTCTGATCACCCGACCAATCTGTTGGTAGAGTTGGGCCATCAGAATGGCGTCGACCGAGCCATGACAAAAACCTCCGGCTTGGGGTCATGCTTCTCTGCTCTCGGCTGAGGGTTGGCGCTTTGGAGTCATCAGGTCTTAGGATATGGTCATATCCCACAATCGACACTGTGGACGTTACTTCGGGTGGTTTCCAGTTATGTTCCATGTGGCTGTCAGGGGACTTACAGACCCCTGAGACCAGACACTTGGTGTTTCCGACCGTGAATTGGTACCAGACGACGTCTGTGAGCTCTGTCAATGCAATGCTAGTAGATTGTTCACTATTGAACCAACTGCTCACGTGTATCGCAACCCCTCCTCTGTTCTTGAGTTCATTGTCTCTCCTGAACAAAAGCATCTCGTCCATGTTCACTTCAGTGTCGCTGATGTCCGGTGATAACCATGTCTCCGTCAGGATCACAACTTCTGGAAGAATGAGGAAACAGAGGGACCGGAACTCTGACATTTTTCCCCGGAGTGACCCCACTTTGCTGTAAGGACGCTTCGGAATGCCTCCAACAACGTGCGATGCCTCTGGGTTGACTGGTGAGAGGTTTGGATATGGCTGAGATTTTACCGACCGGCCAGTCCCAATGGAGCCGACCCAGTTAGGTTATCTTTCGGGCTGAATGGTGAAGTTCGTGTCGGATGGAAGTCGTCAGTCCAACTTGCAACAAGTCCGTGGAGAGCGATGGCGACTTGAGGCAGTCGTTGTCAGCTAAGAGAACGTGGCAGCCTACCAATCACCATTGCTGCTAGTCCACTTAGCCCCATCCATACTGATGTCCACTGCCATTCTTGAAGTCACGAGAGTACTAATCTCCTGTGGTACCAGTTGTCGATCCGGGCTTCCATGGATGACTATGGTCTTGGGGCTCCTTGGATTATGTGCTTCTCAAGGTGTCTTCCTTGCACCCATTGCCGGTCAGGTCTAGCTCCAATGCTCAATGACTTTCCGATAACCAGTGAGCGGGAAAGTAGAATAAAAACCTTTCGGCCTCCCCAGTTTAGCCTAGAGCCACCCTGAACCGTGGAGGCTCCCGTGGGGGTGAGAGGGTGACTTTGTATGGTAGACCTGGCTTGACTCACAAGGCATTCAATTGCTGCCTATCAAGCATGTCCTCAAACTCAAAAAGGCTGTCACTGCATGCTGGAACGTTAGAAGGAGTGACAGAGTTTGATCGGCCAGCGGTGCCTATGTTGCCCGGCACTGCGAGCGTGATTCCGTTAGTAGGTCGATCTTTCTTGTCCATCCGGACCATTTGTCATGCCGTCCGCCACCGTCCACCACTCTATTGGCTTTAGGGCCTCAGGTGGGTGTGGTCGACCCTGGGGTTGGCGGCTTTTGTTCGATTGTGGACCTCTCGGGGTTGTGACTTTCAGAGAGCCAGTGCTAGTGGCCCTTGTAGAGCCGGCCTCCTTCGCGATGGTGGTTTGGATGGACATCTGCTTTCGGCAGCTACTGGGAAGAGTTCAGCAGTCACTCTAAGTGGGCCCGAAGCTAGGAGCGGTCTCAGATGGCGCTGTGGGCAGGTGCATCAAAACTACGTGAACGGATGGTGAACCGTCGGAGTGCAGCGGCAATGTGCCTATCTGTTGATGCCATTGTGCTCAAACGTAATATCGCCTCTGGACACAGAGAGCACGTGTGCGTAATAGCCGTCGCCATGTCCACGTGGAGTAATTAGGGTATTACGGGGAATAGACTTTGTCGAAGGTAACACAGTGTTACTACGCAGCCACCAAATAGATGAAAATGACAAAAGACTCAGTAAAAAGAGTAGAGTACTAAATGCGTGAAGCAAGTGAACAGCAGATTATTGACCTCGCCCTTGATTGCCTGTTACTGCGACCGTCGAATTCCTGCAAGTACCGACAACTCCTGGGTGCAAAAGTGAATGAGTTGCAGGTGCAGCAACTTCAGACAGCTGAACCTACCCCTCAGCCGTCCGGTCAGAGTGCAGTAATGGTGACCTTCAATTGAACGTCTTGTTATCTTATAATCTGTGCAAAATGTCCAGCGCCCCCACGGTATCTGGATGATTCAAATGGTTAGCTGGAAGGAAGCAATGGGCAGCAAGCCTTGGACCTGCGTCACTGACTGAGGCAGAGGGCGACGTGGGTTCTAATCTGAGGGGGGACATCAGTTTCGTCGAGATCGCAGATACGTCTTGCTAACGGGTGCCAACAAGCACGCGTCTGCCATCTTGACGGAACTGATATCCTACCTCAGATTCGAACCGGCGTCACCCTGTGTCTCAGTCAGCGACGTTGTTGCTGAGTTATTCTGGCCGCAAATGGCTTCCCGTGGGACTGGTCGTGATACACTGACTGGTCACTAAGAGAGTGGCTGACTCGTATTGTCTAGCCCTGATTGCTAATTGGATCCTATCAATCTTTTCGCGGTGCGGCTCGAATAGCTCAGTGGTACCACCGCCAACTACAACACAGGGTGGTGCGGGTTCGAATGTAAGATAAAACATCATTTTCGTCGAGATTGCAGATACGTCCTGCTAACGGGTGAAAATAAGCACAAAGCCTAAGTCCACGTCTTCCCGTCGATTGCCTCCATCCAACCAATGTGTATCAAACAGCAATGCGACGCTGAGCTCTCTGGTTCGATTACTGAATCGCGAGATGATCGACAGAATTCGATCAGGGCCTAGGATTATGCAACATGAAGCTGGGCACAGTCCAGTGACCAATCAGTGAATTCAAACGCCTGCTGACAGAATCCAAGAGGCTCTTCCTTGACTGGCTTCCATGTCTGGAGTTCGTGTCTCAGTGTTCCTTGCGTTTCAGCCTAAACACTAGTAAAGGGAGAGTAGAAGGTGGAGTTCCCACCCACATCTCGAGTACGTGTCACGTCAGAGTTTGCAAAATTCGAACGAAGTAACCTGGGTCACTTCTTCATGCAGACTATTCTAGGGTCGAACAACTCTAAGGGAATGGAGATCGTTTCTGATATCTAACCTGCCATGTTCTAGGTGTGGTTTCCCTATGTGTCCTGAAAGATTTGCGCCACAACTAAAATTCAGTAAGTGATAAAGTGCTCAGGATGTTGTGAACCAATATCAAGCCTCTTCCTAGCCTTCTGTATTCTCGGGGATAGTGATCCAGGGCAACCAATGGTTCTTCACATGTTTTGGACATGTGTACTCGAATAGATTTGGCCGAGCACCTTCAGATATGTTCTAATTTTAATTCGTCTTTCTACGGAAAAGGGAAGAAGAGGATAGTCGCGAGGTCTATGCTAGTCCGTAACAAGGTGTTGAAAATTTTGTGGATACATCTAATATCGAATTGCCCAAACATTCGTTTAGAGGCACTCCCATCACAGTTGACATAAGATTTTAAGTCCTGAGGGACTAAAAGTACCCAGATCCTTCTGCGTCAGCGTCGCCTCAAGTTACATGTCACCAGGGGTGTATCAGTAATATGCACCATGTCTTACACAAACAACCTTGCATTTCTCCAGGTCAAGTGTGGATACACTGTCGACTGCCTGGTTTTGAAGTTGGGTTGAGTCTCTCTTGAAGAAAAACACTGCCTTACTCACGATTTCTCCCCAAACTTTCACAAATTCGGCGAAAAGAGGGATTTCGGAAGGAATTTATGGAGGCAAGCTGTTCGTATATATCAGACAAGAAGGTTTCCTGGCACTAGACTTTAGAGGACTCCTCTGGGACAATCTGTCTCTTCGAACACAATGAGGCTCACTTGAACTCTAAACACAAGACCTCCCAGATATGAAGACAACAGTCAATGAGTGGTGGCCTGATCTCGACCAATTTCAAACTATCGATAAGTCACTCGTGATAAACACGACCAAACTCTCTGGCAAAGTCTACACAAATGAACTCAATTCGTCCCCAACAGTGTGCATCGCTAATC